CAAGCAGATGTGCGCTGAGCATGGAGCCCATCAAGGGACTCAATCCCACCACCCTGAGATCATGACCTGAGCCGAAACCAAGTGTTGGCCATTTAACCGACTGAGCCACCCAGGCACCTCAGCCCTAAGAGAGCTGTTTAAAGAGAAATATGTATCTATATTTATATATTCTTCTAACATACACTTACATTGAAGCATGAATATGAACCTACCTCCTATTTACAGGCTGCCTGGTGGTGGAGAACCTACCACACCCATATTCGGGGACCACCGCACTCAGACGCATGTTGTTCTTATCAGCCCAGGCTCTGATGGTCTGTGGATACTAATGAGTCGCCTAAATAGCAAGGATCCAGATTTCGCAGGCTCTGACCAACCCCCACACCAACACACAGAATACAGGATTTTCACGACCTGTACCGCCCTCCAAGAATATCTGTGGGCCCTGAGAGGCGTCTCGCAGGTGCTCCTAACAACCTTGCTACCGTTCTGGCTTCCCAACCAATTCCACTGAGGGTCAGGGTCTTTGCCCCCCATCCCCCAAGAGAACATCCAGGTCCTCCCTGAGTGCCCTGACCCCCACGTTAGTGGAGGTAATAGCCCTCGCCTGCTTTATGACTTCTCCTCCCTCGAAGCAGAACACTCTCCTCGGATCCCATGAGTCAACTACTACAACCCAGCCGGAAGACCCTCTCGCCAAGGGACTGAACAGGAAGTGACAATGCTGAGCTAGACACAATTCCTGTGACAAATACCACAGTAGCCTCCCCGTTTCAGCTTCTCCCCCAGCTACCTGCGCCTTCCTCCTCCTTCAGCTGAAACCCCACACTGAACGATGCTCCTCAAAGCCATGCACGAGTCTGCCAGTCAGGTTTGGATCCTAGCTCGAGTCCAGATCGGGACCCAGGTGACATTCTTTACCTTCAGGCTAGTCAGAACATTTGAAAGGGAAGGACAGAAACAATTAGATCCTAAGTGATATTGAGGAGTAGCAATACTCTTTTGTAGCATCTTCTTTCCTTGAATTTTGGGACAGCTCCTCCTTCAGAGATAAGCATTCAGCGACTATCACTGGGCTAGTCCTTTAGTTCTGTAATTATGGGCATGTTGATGAATCCAGAATATTGCATTGAGACTCCGTGTGAAAATTATCAACAAAGAGGAGTCCATGCTGTTCTCCCAGTGATCTAGGGTCAGATGAGATCTTATTAAATTTAATCAGCCAGATGTGCAATGAAAAATTTTTTTTAATTCTGAAAGAGTTCTGTGAGGCATCTGATTGACCCATGCCCTTGGCAGGAGGAGGGGCCCTCTCCAGGCATGGCCCCCGGTGTTTCCTGGAAAGAACGTGACCTCTGGACTCTAATCTTGGTGCTCCCCTTATTCTTGCTGAGTACTCCTGGGTAATTCACTTCACTTCTCTGAGTTTCTGTTTTCTCACCTAGAAACTGACCTTGCTGGATTGTTAAGAATTGGAGATTTAATAGGCACCCAGTAAATGGTAGCTCTTGGGACTGTTATTTCGTCTGGGAATATTTTTTAAAGAGGAACTAGATGAACCATATGCTTATCAACATCTCCACATCTGTCTTTGAAATATGACTCTCGCTTATTGTCACACACATATATGTCTGCACACACATGCATGCACACAGCCACACACGCGTGTGGGTAAGAGACTGCCAGGGTCTGAGTCCTGGTACCACACCCTTTTCTCTTGTGACCTAGGTCACTTCATTCATGAGTCTCTCTCGCTCATCTGGTAAATGAGGACTGTTTGTAGTTGATAAGAGGGTTAATGAGTTAATATATTTAAACCGTTAGAACAATGGCTGGCACAGAACAATGCCTAGCACATAAAAGAGCACACAGGTTAACTATTATTATTATTATTATTACTACTACTACTACTACCTATTATTCATTATGCCCCTGGTAGGGGAGGCCGGGTGGGGAGACTCTGACGCTGAGAAACTTGAATTTCACTTCTCTTTTCACCGCTGTCCTCTGCTCTGTAACCTCCTGTACACCTCTTTCTTTCATTTATGTATCTACTTTTCTTTCCAGAACAGCAAGTACCAGGTGGTGTTTGAGCACCTACAACCTAGTTACCTCTTCTAGCTACTAAACAAACCATTTCCCAAAGAGATTATATGCAAGCAGCAGAGAAATAGGCTCTTTGCTTTGGGTGGCCCTACGGAAAGAGAGGACCCCTCTCTCCTGGAGCCCCATCTATCAGTAAAGTTAGCAAAGGAAGGGGGCCACTGCCTGGAGGATGAACATCACCTCGATCGACTCTGACTGCCTTGGCAGAGTGTCCCCTGTGAGGAGACGGAGGAAGCCTGCTTGACCAATGAAGACCAGCCGTCACCCGCAGCCAGGGTGGCTCTGACTGACCTTCAGTCCACCCAGCCTGTCAGCAATCCATTAGCAGTCCCATAAGTGACCCTGGTCCTAGTGCACCTCCACTTAACAGGGCTCTTGGGAGGATACATGGAGCAAGAACAATGGCAGCCCAGGCCTACTGGAATGGTGAGCACCGTCATGGCAGCCAGGCAGCATGGATGTTAAGTAACAAGTGGTGCAGGGAATGAGCCCTATGGGCAGGCAGGAGAAAACGCTGGGGCCAAGGAAGGGGCATTGTGGGGACAGAGAGGAAAAAAGGAAAGACTGCTGGACTAGGCCCCCTCGCACCTTCTACTCGTCCGTGGGAGACCAGTCAAAGAAAGCAGGAAGGGAAGTGCATTTCCTTTGACTTCTCTAAAGCAAGCGTTCTTCAAAAAAGAGAATAGCGAGCCTAGTTAGGGTGGATAAACCATCTGATGTCCATCCAGAAAGGTGTCTCTTAATGGATGGAAAATGCAAAGATGACTCAATGGGACTGATTAATATTCATGAAGAGCTGAACTAGGCAGAGTGAAAAAGGCTTATATGTTTGGACAAGAAGGGAAAAGGGGAAAATGGATTTGCTTGGGTGAGGTTTCAGTTTGATCCCCGAGTAAGCGTAGAGAGCAGGAATGTAGGGTAGAAAAATAAAATCTGTATCTAGAAGTTATTAGCACTATGCACAAAAGTGCTGTTGGTTCCTACTTTTTGTGTGCCATTCTGTCTTAAAAATAACTTTGATTTTGTAGAGGCAGTTGTGGTGGAAAAGGTGCTCTGAAGGGTAAGCATGTCTCTTACAAGAAGAATCCGAGCTATTAAAACTACAGTTAAGAAATGTAAAGAGGTACTGATTTTACTCCTTCAGATGAAAAGAAATTTATAAGCAGGAGAGAAATTGCGGATAGAGGCAAGTTCTGACTATAGCAATTCAGAGACGGGAACTCTAATTACACGGGAGCAAGAGGAGACTGCTTCGGGAAATTTCTGAAAGGTTAAATAGGACAGCTGAGGGTCAGAATCATACCGTGATGAGAATCAATGCAGAAGACATGTTTGCAAGGAGCTAACTTGCGTCATCTGCAAAGGAAGACAAAGACAGAGAAGGAAAACTGAAGCCCCAAATAAATAACAGAACCCAGACCATAAAACATGCTGAGTATCACGCACAAATACTCAGAAGGTGTGGCAAGATAAGTTAGAAGCCAAAACTCAGTTACCATTATCATGAAAAGGAACAACAGAACTCTTAGTAAAAATAAATGACTTAGCATGTGACCCATACTGCTTTTCGTAGGTACTATAGGGAAAGGGCTGGTAATCACCCCCTATCAGGGGTTTTCAGCCCACTGAAGTGAGCCCTACAAGTAGGAGACATAGAAACAATTATTGACCATTGTTATCTTTCAAGGAGTAGAAGCAAACTGACCTTACACATTGGAGTTCGTTGGCACTCACCAACACCGATTACAAAATATAGGGAGGAATTCTCCTAAGGACATTAAGCAATATTTGCGAATGTGTGCAGGTAAGTGTTGACTATCTGATCATTCTGGACCAGGAAAGTGTTCTCAGCAACAGTGTGATCTCTTTTTCAAAGCTGAAAACATGAATATTATGAAAACATGTCATGTCATGAAAACATGAACCAGCTAATAGCAGGGAGACATGGCGGGTGGGACCAGCAGACCTTGCAACTCTTAGGAGAAGAAACAGAAATCAATCTAACAACAAATATTTGGTGAGCGCTACGCTGTGCTAAGCATCATAAGAAATAATCCCTCCAATGGCTGATAAAGCCTTTCAAAAGCATGTCTTCAATTAATTTGCCCATTTTTGTGAGGTGGATATTGTAAGCCCTCTATGTTAATGAGAAAAAATGAGATTCGAAGAGGGAAGAGGTTACTTCAATTGGAGATCTCCTGATTTCTAGTTTTCTATCCTTCCTGTGTACTTTCTAGGTTTAAATTCTGGCTCTACTTCTTAGCCGAGTTACTCAAAGAACCCTTGCATTCTCGGTTGTTAAGATGCAAATACCTACCACGTAAAGTTGTTGTAAGGATTCACTGTGTAAAAATGCTAGACATGGTGCCTGGCGCATAGTAGGTCCTCAGCTAATGTTGGTTTCTCTCTCTTTCCTCTACTGAGGCCCAGCTGTCTTCCATGGATAGCACTACCCAGTAGGAATAGCACAGAATGATGCCCCAACGTGGAAGGAGGTGACCAGCCAACCAATGCTCTGGGGTTGGACATGTGAGTCCTCTTAGGCTGGAGGGGCGCTGTGTGAGGCCTGGGAGGCATCTGTTAGCCAGTTTGCTAAGCAGTGAGCTAATGTTGAAGACTGGAGGAGGGGCCAGGAGGTAGTTGAGGCTCTCTCGTGTGGGGATCTTCCATGCTCAAGGGTTTCAACTTGCTCTTACAAGTGAAGGGGAGCAAGAAGTTCTGTCAACTTGGAGGCTCATCTATTAAGATAAATCTGGTGCCAGTGTGTAGAATGGATTGTCAGGGAAGAGGTGGAGAAACAGGGAAATTTTATATTTTATACACACACACACACACACACACGAAGGCTTTTTCATTACAAAATATATATAATCCATTTAATCCTATTTAATGGCCAGAACGTTAATTTTACTCTTGCAATCGATTCTAGAGGTTTAAAAGTGCTGTGTTTTTGCTTTTGTGACATATTATGGTCATATCTAGAATTCATTTGATGTTAAATCAAGAATAAAACTCTCAGTTACATTGTTGTTCCTATGGTAAAATATAATCTACTTTCAGGCCATTCACTTTGCCATAAACTCTCCAGGAATGAAACTTGATAAAAAGCAGAGACTCACTGCATACGACAATAATTAAATCTATACTTGACAAATAAAAGAGCATGACTGCAGGAACAGGTAATTTGGGAGAAAGAAAAACAGATTTAAATACGTCAGCAAATCATACTAAAGTTTGATACCCATGATCTATTTTGAGATATGGGATCATTACATGTATTTGAGAAAATCCCAAGTCCAGTAAGTACCCAAATTAGGGAATGAATTATATTTTCAGAATATAGTCTAGAAGGCCAAGATCAAGGTGTCAGGTTGTTGATTTCTCCCAGAGCCTCGCTCCTTGGCTTGTAGGTGGCTGCCCTTCTCCCCTTGTGCTCACGTGGCCTTAACTCCTTGGGGTCTCTCCCTCCTTCGCTAAGAACACCAGCCATATAGGATTAGGACCCACCTTTATGACCTCATTTAACCATAAATTACCTCCTTAGAGACCCCATCTCCAAACACTGTCACATTCTGAGTTACCGGGGTCAGGACAGTGGCATATGAATGATGTCGGGTGAAGAGGAGACACAATTCAGTTCATAACAGGCCTTGGAAGGAGTTAGGGCTGTGGCTAGGTTATCCACCCAGGTGAAAGATACAACCACTCCATCTGGGTTCTGCTTGTGGTGCTCATGTGGGGCCGCGGCCACAGTCCAGGTTGGAGGGCACTCAGGAGCCTGCAACCCAGCACTGAGCTCCTGCAGGTGTGAACAGCATTCCTCTGAATCCTGGTTGCTTGCTTGGAGATATTTTTAAGTGGTCCCAGTTTTTAGAAAGGGAACGGAGCGTTCCCCGCACCCCAGCTCCCTGTTGCCGGAAAAGCACGTGATGGAAAAACCCGCCTGGGCTAAGGACAGAGTGAGGGTGAGCAGGCTCTTGGGGCTCCGAGTTGATTTATGTTGTGGTCGGTGGCTGTAGTGATTGGGCTTCTCCTTGGTGATTGGTATGATCTGTAGGTTGGCGTCGTTAAGGAGAGGTTTTTGTGATGACTTCAGAAAATTGCTGTAAATAAGATGGTATTTAGCTGTTTTTAATTTTATACAGCTCATTATATCATGGTCAAATGAAAACCTTGACATTCGGGGCAGGAAGTGTGTGGCAAGTGGGGGTGGATGGACTTGAGGCAGGGCGGTTACCCCCAGTGAAAGTCATTCAAGGGTCTCAGAGAAGGGAGGTGCGCAGAGGGGGATCTTTTGAAATCAACACTGGTGACTTCCTCTTCCTGATAAAGTTCTCTCCTCCAGAAACTCCGTCCTGCGAGTCGATAGGGACAGGAACAGAGGTGTTGGGGGATGGGAAATGGACTCTATGACACTCGGGGGACAGACCGACGTGCGGTGGCGGCAGAGTTCTGATTAGATCAGGCCGGTGGAACACGCTGTCCTCGCTCTGCGGCCCTTGCCCTGGATGTCAGATGGAGCCCAAAGCCTTGACGTATCTACAGCCAGGCTGCCCCGCTTAGGCAGCGCTCTGAGAGCTCTCTGCGTAGTTCAGGAAAAGGCAGGGAGCCTCTCTGAGTCGCTCCAAACCTGGCCCAGAAAAGCAGTCACCCAACACTGAACTGCAAAAAATGTAGAATTCTTGGCACATAATGCAAAAAAAGAGTTTTGAACTTCATGCCTATCTCTGCAATAGAATCCCACTGGGATTCTGTTGTGCATTTGAAAGGGGTGACCTTAAGAGTGCGTTAACAGACAAATGGGAGTATCGGGGTAGCGGTTAAGAGAATGGGCTTTCGGGTAGGGTGCCCTGGGTTTACCTCCAAGCTCTGACACATTCTGGTCGTGTGACCTTGGACAATGATTTTTGCCTATCTCCTGGTAGTGTCCTGAGACACTCACAAAAGAGCTTGGGAGAGTGACCGGCACGTGGGACAAAGCGAGCTAGTGTCATGATTATTGGACAAAGGCTCCTTTGGATATTTCGAGGGGCTAAGGGGGAGAGAAGAGGGAGAAGGTGAAGGAGAGAGAGCGGGGCTGTGTGTACCTACTTAGTCAAGGTACCCAGCAGGGAAAGGGCAAGCTTGCCCTTGGGAAACATCACTGTAAACACTATATGATATTAAAACTCTCTTTCTGAGTGTAGACCAGGGCTTAGTTGACAGACCACACATTTATTTCCTCTCCAAGTAGAATACGTTACACTTCCCTTTCTCTGACACTCTAGGATCTTGAAAAATCCAGGAAACACCTTTACATGCCTTGGCCCAGACTCGCCTTCCTGTCCTTTTCATCTTGACAACTGTCCCCGGCCTGGAGTAATGAGCCTCCCGGCCGCAGCCCCTTTGAGTGAGAACTGCCTTCACCAGAAATCTCCCCTCTGCCCAGCAGGTACCTTAAAACTTCGGGGAGTTTAGACCTTAGAGCAATCCTCTGGTGTATGTCTTAACAAAGCTCCTTGCAGCTTGGAAAGAGATGTTCGGTCATGAGTCTGGAAAAGATGCGAAATGAAGGGAGGCAGTGAGTTGGCAACTAGAAATTTTTAGAAAAAGAAAGGATAGGAGGGAGGGTAGAGGTGGGGGAGAGAGAGAGAAAGAAAAGAAAAGAAACATTTTCAAAGTTTGCTGCTAAGAAAGGGAAAACCAGTGAAGTGACCTTTGTGTGTAAATATATATAAAAATATGAACCTTCGCAATAACCAGGATAAATTTAACATGCAGAAACATATACACACTAGGATGATAAATGCAGTGGGATACAAAATTGTAAACACGGTATGATTACAACAATGTGAAAACCAAATAAAAACTGAAAATGAATTGACAGAAGAATTTCCAAAGTGTGAGCAGTGGTGGTGGTCTTTGGGAAGCCAGGGGGAAGTTTCTTCTTCCTATAGAACAAAAGGAATTAATAGATTTATTTCAAAGAGATAACTAGCGGCAGTAAGATTGACCCTTTCAGCTGAGATTCCATGGAGCTTTCAGCCAGGCGGGCAGCCCATGACCTCGACAGCCATGGAGGGGCCTGGCCCTTCTGCTCATCCTGCTTGCCTCTTCTCAGTTCCAGCTTCTAACTCCTTGAGACCTGCCGGTAGCCTGGGAATATTTCTACCCCCGCACTTAGCATATATGACTGAATGTATCTGTTTCTTATCCCTCATGTCCCCCAGACTAGAAAGTCTCTAAGGGAAAAGACCAGGTCTTAGCCATGGTTGAGCCCCCCAGTTCCTACCACAGTCCCTGGCACACGATAAGATCTCAATACATACTGACCCCCCCCTTAACAAAACTTTTCCACAGCTCCCCTCTGAATGCAGCCCAAACCCCTCACGTGACTTTCAGGAACATCCAAAGGCTGATGTGAACCCACTTTTGCTGCTCTATTTCCCACTGTCCCCCACCCCAGGACCCCCAGCCCCGCTCTGCTGAATAGTCACTCTCTCCCAAGCACACCTTGTCCATAGTCCCTCCACTCTTTTTCTAAGCCCAGATCTCCCTCCCATCTCTGGTTTGCTCATTGAATTCTGCTTCCCTTTCAAGTCCCAGCCGCAGCTTTGCCTCCTCTTACAGTCTGCCCACCACCACGCTCACTCAATGTGTGCAACCATCCTTCCCTGCTTCCAGAACTTCTCATGTGCTCCTCTCACTTCCCTAATTTGACTTCCGCAAGCCCCCAGCCATGGTCGGCAGGTGCTCCCCAACAGGGTCGTGTACACAGGAACCTCTCAGTGAGAGTGGGCTGCCGCGGGTCACTGGCTGGTGGGGACGTCACCGGGCTGGGTGTGTCTGTTTCGGCTCCTGAGTTGTGGGTCCATTTCTCACGAAGTCCGCACCTTGAGGGAGGGCCCTGGAACCTAAAAGGGAGAGGTTAGGTCACTCCAGCCCTCGCCCCCTCCTGGCTGCCCTTCCTCTGCTTCCTTATCTCCTGCCACAGGACACGGGGTGGACAACAGAGAGGCCCTGCCGACAGCTGGCCGAGCCCCCAGGCCAGGCCTCAGTAGACGAAGGACCCCACATCCTGCGGCCAGCATCCAAGTCAGTCCTCAGAGCCACCCAGCACTGCAGGCTTTGCTGGATCTGTAGGCAAACTGTTAACGTGCAGGGGAAAGCATTAGGAAAGAGAAAACCATGTTTGTTTTCCTTTTACTTGTCAACTTCCCATGGCTCCCGTCTGAAGGCTCTCCAAGCCTGGCATTGGAGAACTTTCGGGTTTGGGATCCGTATCTGTCTTCCATTCATCAGATACTATCCAAAGCCACCCAGCCTGCCCCTTTCCCTCATTTAGAAAGAACCGGAAGAACTTTCACACACTAAATACATAAATGAATTAATTAATCCAATTGAGATTGTTGTGCTTTTTCTCTTCCGTGTTCTCTGGGCTTGCTGATAGAAGATGTCGGCGTCCAGGAGTGGCTTTACCTCATCCTGTCTTGCATCCCAGGGGCTCAGGCTGGAGCCAATCCCCAAGAATGTAGAGCATCTCCTCAGCCTGCAAGAACACAGGGTGACATCACCCACTCACCCCTGCTTGTTGTCTCTCCTCCCTCCACGGATGTGACCTCAAAGGTGGCACTTCGGGCCTTGAAGAAAGGACCTGCCACAGGGGGTAAGGGGTTGGCTGAGGGCTGCTCAGTAAGGCTTTTTTTCTTTTCTGAGTGAATTGAGGGGAGGGAGGCGTGCATGGCTCAGGACACAAGGAAGCACTGGTGTGAATATGGGGATAAGACCTCAAGCGACTCTGGACTCTGGGCGGTGTGGAAGGCAGTGTGGGTTCTCAGTTCTGGTTCTCCAACCTGGGCCTGCAATTGTCCCCATTGTATGCAGATCAGGGCGGGCTCCTCACCCGCCACCCGTGTGCCCTTCAGGTGTTCAAAACTGGGGCATGGCCTCTGCTTAACTAGAAAGAGGCCTGGGCTGGTGACTCACTCTAAGTCACCTGAGAATCTGCAAGTCTTCAGCTCTGGCCCAGATGGCCTGTCTCCCATGTACAGAACCTTCCCTGTGTCTGTCAGGACAGCCTCCCAGCCAAGGCACCTGACAGAGCAAACCTGAGTTTTAAAAACTGGACAGTGGTGAAGATGAGCCTCTTGGGACAGGGTCTTCCTCACTGGCTTCTCTCACTCCCAACCACCAACTTTTTTTTACCCAAAGATTTATTAACTTGAGAAAGAGAGAGAGAGCAGGGGGAGAGGGGCAGAAGGAGAGAGAGAATCTTAAGCAGACTCCCCGCTGAGTCAGGAGCCTGACTTCAGGACCCTGAGATCATGACCTGAGCCAAAATCAAGAGTTGGGCGCTCAACCGACTGAGCCACCAAGGCTTCCTCGTCCGCAACCACCAACTTTTACTGTCTTGAAATGTCGAGGCTCTTTGTGACCTCCCAGGAGCAGCTTGTCCTTGGAGCTGCTGCATTTGGGGCTGAGCAACAGCCAATCAATCAGCCTAGAAGGATCAGCTACCTAATCTCTAACTAATCTTACCTCCCTGCCCCGGAGACAGGGTCTCTGCGTGTGTGTGTGTGTGTGTGTGTGTGTGTGTGTGTGTGTGTGTACGGAAGGAAAGCACATACTTAGTTATTCATCATTGAAACCGATAAGAGCCAAATCACACCAGGATGTGAGGAGATGCACTTTCTGGGATTTCATTCATTAGAGACACCTAATCTTTGGACAACACCAACCTTCCGAAGCTAACTCTCCTCTCTATATTCCCCAGGATCTCCAGTATTGTATTTGAGTTCCTGGAGAAAGGAGAAAGGTTTTCAACTTGGAGTTAATCTACCTGGTTCAGGTTGCTGCAGCCCATCCATTTTTAATGGGAAAGAAGTCCTGATGAATGTCCGGGAGCCCCGTGTGCCACCCAAATCCTGGTATAAAGATGGCCGCCATTTTGTCAAGCGCAGACAGTGTGCAGCGCAGAAGAGAGATCACACGGACTGCCCGTCCAACAGGCTGACAATCACAGTGCTCTATGTGTCCCTGAGAACATCTCCAACTCAGTTTATATTTTAAAAGAAAATAAACACACCCAGACAACCATCTCCTGTGCTTCTCCCCATTCCCCTCCCTCTGATAACGGAACAAACCCTTTATGATGTTGATCGCTGACTGGGGGCAAAGGCCACAGACCCTAACTCCACACGAAGGGGTTGGGCTCACCCTTGAGACTGTGTCAGCTGGAGATGTAGGTGTATCTGGACCTCTCTTCACTTCTCAGGGAGGTCTGTAACTGGATCCAGCTTCATCCTGGATCCCGAATGGTTCTAGCTAGATTAGACCCTATCTGAAGACAATTTGAGCCTCTTGCTCAACAGTCTTTGGGAATCCTGCACTTTTCCACTGGGAAGTGGGAGCTGCAAAAACCTGCCTAGCCCTGGCACTGTGCCCAGAGCCCGGCCTCCTGCAGGTTTGCTGGGCCCCTCCCAGCCCCGGTCTAACCCCAAGTGAGCTGGCATTGGCTGGTTGGTCTGGTCTCTCCCAGGATCCCTGTTTGCCTTGGCCTTTGTCAAGGAGGCAGGGAGCTTGAGGAGCCAGGGGGTTAAGCAACAGCTTCCCAAGGGCGAATTCCTGCCCAGCGCCTGGTATCTGGTTCCCGAGCCAAGCATGGGTAGCTCTGTTTCTGCTGATTCCTGATCTTGCTGCACACTGCATGCTGGCTCTCTCTTCTGGTCTGGTTGTGCCCTCCCAGAAGAAGGAGTTCAGTCGAGGGGCCCAATGGGCACAGCCCAGATGTAGATCTTATATGGGAATGCTCCCACCAACTGAATTCTCAGAACATCATAAGGCCCCTCAGAGCCGATTTGGAGTTCTGTTAGCCCTTCCTCCAGGCCCCACTTAATCGACACGGCCAGGTGTTTTTTTAGATACCTCAAATACGCAAGTGCTTGATAACAGGGTGGTTTAAATGTCAGAGAGGCAGGGCACGGCATAGTGTGAGAGGCTGGGACTTACAACGAGCAGATAAGAGCCTTCTTTGTCAGGATGACAGCTTTGCCCAGCGTCACCTACCATTTCTCAGGTCACCCCGTGTTAACAGGTTGCATCTGATTATTTTTGCACATAGGTTCGAAATGTATGAGAGACGATCTGAATTTCTCAGCCCTCCTCTTGGACAAAGCTAATAGCACAGACTGCAGCGAGCTGATGTTCTTCTATGTCCATGAGGTGGGAGGTGATAAGCTAAGGAAAGCCTGCTCCTATCCCCATTTTTACATGAGATTCTAGAATCTGCCGGGGACCAACCTGTTTAAACCTGTTGCGGCATAATTATGAACACCTCCTTTTGCTCTCAAAAGGGACAGCTGTACGGTGGATTATATAGTCATCCAATGTATAGAGGACATCGCATTCATTCTGGCCATGTTCTTTCCAGATGTGCAGAGAGCCCGGTGAGGCTGGGGAGGCCAAGGGTGAGAAAGGGAAGTGACTCGTCCCTGCTCAGGCGGTGAGTCAGGAGCAGAGCAATTAATGAGAATCCAAGAGCTTTGACTAAGGAGCCACTCACCCCTGACCCCGCCCTGCTAAAGGAATAGAACAGACAAAAGTTGGTTGAAACAGCACACCAGTGCCAAGGTGTGAGTAAAGCGGTGGAGAGAAGACTAGCAACCGAAAATAACTGGAAGACAAAGGGAATCCCTCAAAATATGTTGGTTGAGAAGAGAGTGTCCTTGAGCCCATGAACGGGCTTTAGGAGACTCACAAAGGGGCGGGTGCGAAATAATATTGTACAACGAGCTGACCCATCCTAGTGGGAGCTCAGAAGCTGCCGGACAATGGGTGCATTGACGAGTTAGTTACAAGTGACCGCAGGGAGAAGGGAAGCGTGAAGGAGTCATTGCAGACAATCTGGGCAGACTGCAGGGAGGAAGCAGTAAGCTTCCCGCGGCTGGCAGATGGCCCAGGGCCATCCCGGCACTGTGTGCTCCGAAGGACCCCGGGCCACCTCCAACCCTACCCCAGTGTTGCTTAGTGAGGTGAGTGTTGAGCTAGCTTCTGGAAGAAGAAGTATGACCAGGAGAAAGGGGCAGGACACTGCCTGGCTGGAGCCCAGTGCAAATGAGGAATGTGTGGGGACAGTGGGCAGACAGGCCTGCCTGGAGCAGAAGGGCTGGTGTGGGGGGAATCCACAGAGATGGAAGAAAAGAAACAAAGAATGTCTGCCCAGCATCCTCATTTTTTTTTTTTTTTTTGGTTTTATGGGAAAATGGTGAAACTCTTTCTTGCAAGCGGCGATTATAGAGGGTGGGAGTAGGAGGGTGGGGGTAGGAGGGAAACCACAGTGATTTTCTTTTCTTTTTTTTTTTTTTGGACTGAAAAAATGTTTTCCCCAAACTAAACAAAGTGAGATTGAGAAATTCAACATGGTACCTTAGGGACCTGGTAGCTCATTGCTACCCGGAGGCCCCCCTTCCCACAGGCGCCTACTTCAGGCTCTAATGGCTGGCTGGGGAGGAGAAGGGGCCACTTCAACTTTTCACGATCCCAACGGTGATGGTTCTCTTTTTGCAAAGTAGTTTTTGTCCCCTCCTATGAGGGCACCGGAGTCCTTGCGGTAACCATCTGTGCGCCCCGCCCCCTCACCTGCCCAGTGGCCAGACTCCTCCTCCTCCTCCAGCTGGGAGCCTGGGACTTAGGTGGGCCTCCCTATTTCATGCCTTTGGGGCGGGTGCTGGTTGCTGAGTTACCTAAAAGATGATTTCCCTCAAGATGGGGATTAGCATCATTAAAGAAACAAAGGCATCCCTTAATTACAAGCCTAAACCCTCGCCTTCAAAGAGGGCTGGAGGAAAAAAGTGGTGCTGGGGCCTGGGTGGTCTTGCTGGTACCACTTCTTCGGTGATTTGATTCACCGAAACCATTCATTTTAGGACTGCCTTTTTTTTTTTTTTTTAAACAGAAAGGTAGGACCATTCAACCTTCTTTAGCAAATTGCAGTGATTTTTAAGTAAATAAAAAAGTCAGTAGCCCCAGCCACGGTGTCCCATGTCAGACGCAGTGTGTCTGGTGACAGGAACTATCTCTAGCCTGGGGGGAAAAAAAGAAAAAAAATAAAAACCCTGCAAGTGCTCAGTTGCATTGCAGAGTCATATTTTTACTTACATGAAATTCTTGTTCTCAACCATCTGATTTTTGTTCACTACTAGATCTAAATCTAGTCAGGTCTTATGCCTGCAAACCCCTTTAATGAGCATGATATCTTAAATTGTTTTTCAATTGGGGTGGCAGTGCTCTCGTTTCTTATCTGGGAAGCTGGAGGCCCTGAGGCCACCTGCACAGTCCCACGGGGGTGAGATTTTATCTGCTGGCTCTCCCCAATCCCCTCTCTCCCAGGACCCTGCTGGGGGCTGGGCCACAGAGCCTCAGGTAGAAATCCAGTCCCTGGACCAGCCTGGGTCTGCTGGGGAGGGCTCGGTGGGCCCAGCCTCCGCATGAGACAGGAGTGGGACAGGGATGCTTAGGGGGGCTCCTGCTCATGCTCTGGGGCTTCTGAGTTGCCGCTGGGTGTGGGAGAACCCAGATCCTGCTTCTTCTGGAGAGCATAGTGGGGACTGCCCCATCTTCAGGGGCACGGCGGGGGTGGGGGTTTCTCTGTCTCAGACAAGAACCAGGGCTGGCCTCCAGTCCTGGCACCTTTCAAGTGTGGGAAGGAGGCTCCCCATGCCTCTCCCGAGCACCCTAGGCAGCTGGCTTGGATCCTGGACCTTTGCTGTCACGGGTGCCAATGTCCATGCCAGGGACCCAGCAGCTGTCTCTAGCTAGGTAGGTAAGGGCTGAATCCTGGTGCCAACCTAACTTTTTTCCAAGCAGCCTAGATTAGCCAATTGGAAAGATACCTTCAGCTTAATCCCAGCCTCTGTCATATCAATGGAGGGCGGAAGTGAAGATCTCACCAGAGACCTCCCCCTATCCCGCCCCACCAAGCCAAATGGGTTAATGACACAGGGCAAAGTGCCTTGCGCCTTCTTAAAGACAGGGCCATGTCCATATAAAGTCCTACAGTTGTTCACCTTCACAGAGACAAATGATTTATTTCAAATTCCATTTTGCTCATGGCTAGTTCTTCCTGAATAGTCTCCAAAACGCTCCCATGAAAGCAATTTACACAGCGGCTCTGCCTAATGCACTGACCCGAAAAGAGTCCTGTGGGCAAGAGCTGCCAAAGAGACACAACAGAGATTTTTCTCAGCCAGGCCCAGGGTGGGGGGCCAGGAGAATGGGGTGGGGGGGCTCCATTCAGTCCCCAAGATGGAGAATGCGTCTGCCTTTAGTGAGAAGCTGGTCCGTGGGCTTTCTCCAGTTTTCTCTCCTCTCCCGAAGCTACAAGTCGCTTCCACCCTAATTCTAGGTCACTGTCAGAATAACCATCTACCCAGCATGGCCAGGGAGTGTGGATCAGGTAAAGGTAGCAAGAGCTCCTGGAAAGTGGCAGGAAGAGGGATTATTCCACAAATGGCGTTGGAACCATTCAGAAATGGTGGGCCATTCGGAAAAACAAGTTAAGTTTAAGCTGATTTTTACTTCACTCTTGGCTCCCAAGAAATTCCTCGTAGATAAAACTTAAAGATAACATTTGAAACCATAAGATTTAAAAATCGTGGGTGCCTTTGTTGATCATTTCTGTAAGGGACGTCCTTTCTAGAGAGGAAGCCATCGATTTAAAAACCATAAATTCCATCCCATAAAAGCATCTATACCTTTGTGTGACAAAAACACCTTTAAACGGGGGAAATATTTGCAACCCATAATGGAAACACAGGACAAATTTCCTTACATTACAAAGCGCTAGTACAAATCAATAAACAAAAAGCAGAATAACCCAATAGAAAACTGGGCAAAGAACATAAATGAGCAGTTTGTAAGAAAAAATAATACAAATGCCCAACAAGCACTCTGTGTGAAATTGAAGACACACTGTCCAAGTGCTAACAGGATACCGTTTTTCACCTAACTGGCAAAGACTGTAAAGTTTTATAATAATTACTGCTTGTGAAGCTATGTGGAGGAACAGGTATGTGCAAATATTGTTATGAGGGCTGTCGACTGGTAGTCATTGCTACTGCTAAGATTCTTCTAAGAGCAATTTAGCAACGTCAATCATAATTTTCAGTGTACATAATCTTTAATCCAGGAATCCCACTGCTTGAATTTAGCCCACACCTACCTTGGCAAAATCCCACCATGACACCTGGGACGAGGATGTACCTTACAGCGTTGTTGGGAATGGAAAAAAAAAAAAAAAAAAAAAGCTGGGATCCACTGAAACTGGTTAGAAAATAGAACTCTTTGAAGAAGTTTCTAGAAAAAGGTTCTGAGTTGATTGGTGGATCTTGATAAAGGGGGGTCATTGATTTTTTGTAAGAAGTAGA